TAACAACAGGTTTTGAACATAAAACTTGTTTTGTGCGGCTTCTTGTTCCGTGAAACAATATGTTTATAATTCCAAGTAAAAGCTTGAGGCTGCGTAGAGGTGCCTGGGTAAGATGGATCATCAAGCTTCTCATCAAATAAATGAGTTTCATCCGACATATCATCACAGGATTACACTGGTTCAGGGGCATATATATCAGTATTGCTGCTATCTTTATGCTCTGATTCAGAATAAGAGGGTAATTCATGAAGCACTTTTAGCGCTTCTGAAAGAGTTATAGCTTCTCCACGCCATTTATGGAATGGCCTTTCCTCCGTGCCATTTATGGAAAATTAATAATAAAAAATTAACTATAATTAATACTAACAATAAAGAAAAATAAGCTATAAGATACACATACACACAAAAAAAATATCTACACAATTACTGAAAATAAATGGGAATGCGACTAAAAAGTGACAGCAAAAAATTTGCGCAGCTGTAAGTAAAGATTACTCGAGCTACTGATAAAAATCCCGCCTGAAAATTACTCACAAAAATTTCAAGATGACTATATTAGGGCTTTCATAGCACAAACTACACCTCATCCCTCAACTGCTTTGTTTGAATTCATTCCCCCAAAACAACAGAAATAGAAAACATATACAACAGATGTTGTGATGCGTAATAGTATGAGATTGCTAAAGGTGCAGTGTTCCCGCTAATGGAACACCCCGTTTTATTCAATGATTCTGTGCATGCTTTTTTAATGAAAAATGTAAAAAATATATAACAAATAATATAGAGTACAGCCATCAAAATTATACAGAAATTGTTTTTCAAACAATTTTATTTGTATCACCAAGAAAATATAGAAAATTACTAAAAAATAAGTGGATTTTAATAACACATCATAAATGAAAATTCAGTCTCTTCTTGTGATATGCTGCCGTCGACTATTTCAAAAGAGAAGTTCGAAGTATATTATAAAGGCATTTTCATCCATTTATGGTGGAATTTAATGGTTTCAGAAGCAATTCAAGTTGGGTGTTCCATGTAGTGGAACACTGAGCAACAAAGGGTTAAATTCAGCTTTTTAATGGTTGACATGGAAGAAGCAGAGTCCCCATAAACTTTTGGCAACTTCGGATGAATTTATCCATCCAATACAAAGAATTTTATGACTGCACGATACTCCAGTTTACCCATTTTAACGAATAAGACGCAAGAAGTCTACTTGGAAAATTCGTGCAAACAAACTACTTGAGAGAAGAGTTGAAACTTGTCATATGAGCTATTGACACCTGCACCCAGGCAGGAAACAAATTTTTGCTGAGTGGAGCACCATCTCTGGGTTAGGCCAGGAACTTTTCACCTTACTCATATGTCTTAACTGTAGAAAATTTTGTAAGTAAAGTATTAGGAAAAAGTACCATCAAATTTGAAATAAAAGTTGGCAATCGAATAAATTAGACTGAATTAGAAAATGTGTTGCATAATCCAAATCTAAGAAGGAATTTACTATCGGAAGCAAGGTTAGAAAAGGCAGGTGCCCATTGAATATACTTCAATAACTGCGGTAGATTATGTTATGCTAAGTGGTATGATGTACTTCTATGACATAAAAAAATTTAGGCATACAACAGATACAGAGAAAGATGAAGTCATGGTACAGAAGATTTTGCCAAGTAAATTTTGATTATATTCAGAATATTAGTAAAAATCAAAGAGTGAAAGGATTAGCCGAATTCAAAAAACCAACAGAGAAATGCGATCCAGGTATGGCTGTTGCTAAATCAACATTAACGTTTGCGAAAATTACAACACAATGAACGAATTATGCAAATTGAACCAAATTTACAGGAAATGTAAAGTGAGGTAAGGCATGCAAATAATTAGAATTGCAAGGCAATTGTGGATGAGTGGACTAAGAACCGGCTGCTTATTCCATGTATATCAGGACCGTAAAGTTGTGTTGAAATCTGCTTATTGTCATCATCTGCAGCCAATGTTTATTAGTGGTCAATATGCCGCATCAACAGCAGAAGGTGCTATACCAAGAACCAACGGAGTTCGAACAAGGTTGTATTGTCGGTATGCAAGAGGGTGGACCTTCGTATCAAACAATCGCAGCTCATATGCAGTGTAATATCACAAATGTGATGTGTTTGGAAGAAATGGACAGAAGAGATCGGCAGAAGACAGAGCAAACAAGAAGAAATTGTGGGTGTGGGACATGCAATAGCACAATGGCACGGGACAATTGATACCTCATCTGCATGACTGCAACGGATCGTACAGCAGCTTCTCTTGTGTAACACAACGGTGGAGCATGGCTACAGGTGTTGCATGTCTAGCTCCATGGTTCGTCGTCGCCTGCTGTAGCATGAACCGCATGCAAGGGTTCTAAGCAAGATTTCCCTCTCACTGTAACATAGATGCCTCTGACTTCAATAAGCATGGCAACAAGTTGTTTTCTCTGATGAATTTTACTACAGTCTGGAGTACTACGATGTGAGAGTACATGCTGGAAGTTACAGAGGGGAATGTCTGTTACATCAGTGTGTTACCCAGTGTCAATTGCCTGGCATCATGGTTTGGGGAGCTATTGGGTATAATTCCTGATCCCATCTAGTACAGATTACAACAACCTCAACAGTAATCGCTAGATAAGGGAAATTGTAGAGCGAGGTGTCCCCCCCCCACACTTTTCGACACATTACGGGCACTGTTATTTCAGCAGGATGATGACCATGCAAATGTTTCTCAGACTACACAAGCATTCTTTAGGGCACAACAGGTTTCGCTTCTTCCATGGTCTGCTTATTTCCTCGATATGTCACTCACTGAGCATGTTCGAGATTTAATCGGTCGGCGACCGGCTCATACACCTGGTTGGGCACACACTAAGACTGCACTGTGTCAAGTCGTAGCCATACAGAATACCATTTCCCAGGATTACATTCAGAACTTGTATGATTCAATGCCATAATGTGTACAAGCTCTCATAGTTCAAGGCGGACAGAAAGTACTGATTTCTGAAGGTCTTTTTCTTTTTTTGTCTTGTAAATTCGAGTGCATTGTTCAATAACTTTAAAAACTAACTACCTTAGGCAAATGGAAAAACTGATAAATACATAACTAATGCCAATAATGGTGGTGAATTCTGTAACAGGTAATTCAAAAGCACTTAGCCTAAAAAGGGAATAGTGTTGAACATGCAAATGCATACACCCCAGAAAACAGTGTGTGTGTGTGTGTGTGTGTGTGTGTGAAAGCTTTAACAAAACAACGTTTGGTGCAGTTAAAGCTATGCTTAATAATTCTAAAATGGGGGAAAAAAAAGGTGGACAGATGCTCCCGGATGTTTTGCACAAATTTGGAACGAGGTGAGTCATAATAATATCTGAACCCATTACGAAATCTTCCTAAACAGAAAACTTAGTTTTATTTATTTTAAATGTTTGGACGTAAAGCATATGTTGGCATACCAAAACAGAATAGAGACAAATTACAAACAAAATGCAAAAAAAAATTTTGGTAGGATATGCCAAGGAAACTAAGGTTATAAAATATAGCTACCAGAAGAACAGAAATCAATAGAAACCTGTGATGCCAATTTCATTGAAAGAATGAATGCAGTAGATAGCATCCTAGGCCAGAAACCTAAAACTGAGTTTAAAGGATCAGAAATGTTACCAGAATCGGATGGAGAAAAGGAAATTCCTACAAACCAAATAAAGAGATCCTGTAGAGAAATTCTGTAGAAAAAAAACAGTTGTCAGATTAGGCACACTGATGTACAATATCACTTCATTACAAGATGGTGAGTGATGGAGTGTTTGACGTCGAATTCATCTCCAGCAAATTAAACAATGTGGACCTATTTATAAAGGCATGTGCCTGATATGGATTAAAAAAAAATTGTTTCACTGTTTACAATATTCAGGAAGAATTTAAGAATAATAAGTATTGTGTCCATATAATACAACAAAAATGTGAAATTTTTTGTAGTTCTATGCAAGTTTAATTTTAGACTTTGCATCAGTAAAAGGGGGACATTGTTGGCTTAATATTTTGTTAGTCTTTATTGCCTTGTAACTTAATATCCATATGCCAGCAAAATCATCCTCACCTTCCACAATTTGCTGCATTCAAATACAAAACTCCTACTGACAGGCATAGTCACCTAGAGTCAGGTGTTGCAAAAGGCATGGTTTGAAACGTAAATGCTGCAGCCAAGCATTCCACACTGTTTTATGCTGAATGCCCAGTTCACGGCTTGTACAAATGGTTGACTTCTGTGGGCTGACCACAAAACTCTGTCATGATTTCTTCTGAGATATGCAGTCACCCCTCCTGCTTTTCTCTATACACAGACAACCCATATCATGAAACTGAAACCAACGCAATATCCTCTAGTAACCAGGCACAGCTTTTATGTATTTGTGCACGAATGCACACTGAATGCTCATAATCAACAAACACTTCACTTATTCTAACACACAAAAACTATTTTCCAGCACAGTCATAATCTTGCAGAATACTGTCGCAAGCCTGCCATATAGTGTACATGCCAGCCACGAGGCAGGCTTTTTAAACTTAGTGAATTTATCTACCTTTCATGTATCAACCATCTTTGTACATCATAAATCTGTATATAAACAGTGCTTTAAAGCCCGATGAATAATTTAGATTAACCTTGTATACTGTTTGCATAAGGAACAATGATTTTAAAACTATGCAAACTATTGAACAATATGTTTAATATAATACAGCAATTCCAATGTGTGTATTATGCACATTTATCACAGAATTTTCTCAAGTAATAATTAAGTATGTTTAAAAAAGTAAAATGTATTTTTATGACAACTTTTTAAAATGATCCTCATATCTCAATAATCATTATAAAATAATGAAATTTTACAAATATTATATTATTATATTATTTCTATCAATATACAAATATTGATAGAAAGTACTCATATCAACATAAATTGTTTTTATCAAAATCAACAAACCTTCTGGAAATGAGCTACAGGTATTAACAGTTCATCATCTGCTATTTCTAACTCATCCTTGGGAATTTCTTCAATTCTTATGGACCTCGCACTTCCATTACCTAACGAATCTAAGGGCATTTCTTCCCTTTGAACTGCAAATATCTTGTAGCTTATTATTTCTAATAACCTAAAAAATAAAGACAGATCTATGCAAGAACAAAACAGCTTCGTTTCAATTTAGTACAATGCTTTACAAATTTAACAGTTCAACACAAAATGGAAATTATTTGTATTAAGTGAAAATACTCACCTAAGTCTACCAGAACCATTATCTGATAACTCTACTTGCTTTTTGGCTTCTTCCAAGAGATCAGCTACAAAGCCATTCTTACTTGGATATAATACTAGTTCTTTCTAAAATAATGATGTTATGTTTGTTAAAATAATTTGTTTAACAAATTTCTGTTATTTGGAATTGTTCAATATATATATAAAATCTATCATAATACTTACACAAATTTATAAGTTTTGAAAATGCTACAGATATTAAAACAAACAAGAAAAAAATTTGCCTACTTTTACCTCAAAAAAATTCTGTAGTATTAAGATATAATACTAGTTCTTTCTAAAATAATGATGTTATAGTTATTGAAATAAATTATTTAAAAAATTTCTGTTATTTGGAATTGTTCAATATACATAAATCTATCATAATACTTTCACATATTTATAAGTTTTGAAAATGCTACAAATATTAAAACAAAGCCCCCCCCAAAAAAAACTACTACTACTTTAACCTGAAAGAAATGAAGAATTCATTATATTTTAACCAAACAGAAGGTGGCAATGATTAAAATATGGAATAATTCTAAATTACTCTGCATTTAAAATTTGTAAAAATCTTATACAACTGCATATTAATATATTTAAAAAATTTTCAATTCATTTATCTTCCATTAAACAATATAAAAAACTACACACCTCTTCTTTTAATTTACTATTCACCCACGTACACTTGAATTGCTTTTTATTCTCTAGTTCACTAACTTTAATATTCATCTGAAATATATAAAAATATTAAGAAATACATAAAAATTTCATTTGAATTTTCTATAATTCATAATAATTTTTTATTTAAAAAATTGAGCAAAACAACTTGAAACTGGAAATACCAAATTTTCTCAACAATGCATTTTTTCTCAATTACATTATCCAAAAAGTTATTTGAAAAGCTATTGCGAAGATTTACTAAGGTTTCCTTGCAAAGTTGTTCAGCATCCTTATACGAATGCTAAAAACATGCCACTTTTTTTTTTTTTTTTCATGTGATACACATATAAGCAAATAGCATTACCATGTATTACATTTTTTATTTAATACTTATGCTTAAATCAGAAGAATAATTAGTTATTTTAACATAAGAAGAGAAATAATGCAATCCTTTGAACCTAAGATGGTAGACCAAAATTATTTTATATGCCAAAAATGCATTTAAAAAAATGACAAGACAAAGAAAAATGTCACTGGTTCTTAATTTGAACAATTGTACCATAGGTAATAAAAAAATCTCATTTATTAAAATGGAACTATGGCTGCACACTCAAATACTTTCTCATTAAAAGCTGCTTATTAACAACAAACAAAAGTCTGAAATGTTTAAGATTTTAAATTACATCCAAAGGGGCTTTTTTAAACATTTTGTGTGTTACATTTATTTATTAAATATCACATTCTTTGCACTTAAAGAATAAAATTCAGTTCAACAGCAATATTGCAAAATAGTTTTAAAATGAACATATCTTTAGAATTTCCGATACAGAGACTCACACGCTGGAGATAAAAATGTTTTTCCTGTACAACACTGCCATTGCTAGCTTTGAAATCGTTTTTGGTTAATCAAAAATTCGTTAAAGTTTTACAAAATAGGAAATCAATAATAAAACAAATTCACTTTGTGGCAACAGTCTGAAAAGTGATTCACTGTTTGTAGTGAATCAACACATAATCGCAAGACAAAAACAATAGTCCTTCAGGGACAGAGGCCTTTGGACTACAAAAGAAGACACAAGAATGAAAGAATAGTATTTCATTCATTTCAAATCATATTATTTACTATGCATGTTTTACTTTTCACTGATAATTTTAGTAAAAAAAAAAAAAAAAAAAAAAAAAAAAAAAAAAAAAATTTAACTATATTTACAGTCAACTCTCAATTAAACCATGAATGGAATTACTAGGTTTTTGTCTTAAAAAAGTTTATTATGCAACAATAAAAAACATTGCAATCACCATGGAATAAAACTTCTAACGCATGGCACATGGCAGCCATCTGCCTAAGAGGGAGAGATGCCTTTGTGTATAACATTCTAAAGAAAACTTGTTCATATTCACATACAAAAAAGAAAACAAAAATATAGAATAATGCATATGTGGATCTACAGGATAATCTACATACTTACCACATGAACTCTAAAAATAAAGTCCTAACCAACTTTTCTTTTCCATGCAAATTTGAAATTGGTGCATCATTTATGCTCTCTTATAAATAAATATCTCTTAGTATTTTCTGATCATTTGTATCCCTAATAAAAGTCATAAATTTTTTAGCAACTTTGGAGAGCATTTGCAAACTTATTGCAGACTAATTTTTTTGCCAGTAAATGCCCCACAGTCAAATGGCAACACTAAGAATTTAATACAACAATGAATAAAATTTAAAAAGCAAGAAACACTGGTTATAAAAACATTTACTTCTCTTCAAAAATCTCTCTTTTTTTTTTTTTTTTTTTTTCTGTCCTTATTCCCATGTGCACAGCAATCTGTTTTAACTTAATAAAAACATCAGAGATTTGCACAAACTCAGCATTGCACACCAGCTAATGCAATAGCAATATCTAGCTTGCCATGTAAATACATTTTGGCACCACTGAAAATTGTCACGTAATTTTTGTAAAACGCCACGTAATTTTTGTAAAAATTTGTAAACGACATGCCTAATGATTTTTGAGGGGGAGGGGGTTGATGGAGATGTGGATAATCAGAAAGCATCTATTTTTCTTTAATAGCATTCGTACAGTGTGCAAAAAAAGGGGAGACAGTTTTATATCTCCCGTTCTAATAGGGCCGATTGGCAAAATTCAACTTGAGTTTTTCATATCTCAAAAGCACAACTTAGGTTGTATTAGATTTATATATAGCATTGTTCTAATAAAGGTATTTTGACACAAAATTCAGACTTTTGAAATGATATGCTGTTTTTTTTCCTCATATTTCGATTCTACGATTCAAATTATGGCAAACTGTCAAATTTTGTAAAAATCGCACGTGTACTTTTTAAAGAATTAGCTTTCAAAGTTTTAGCTCCTCAATGTTAATTGAACTCGATATATATTTATTAATCTCTCTCTTTTTACATGATTCCTTCTTCCAGAATTCGAAATTTAGGCTTACTCCAAATATAATTCGCACATTTTTAACGATTTATATTAAAAAATTTTTTATAAAATGTTGTATTTTAATCTATAAAATTTTCAACATCGTCTTTACAGTACATGTATTTCTTTTCTAGACACACCTGCAAAAAATTATACTTTATTCAAAATTTTCCAAGATACACATGAATTTACATATTGGAACGTTTTGAAATTTGCTTATTTTTTTCCCGGGGGGGGGGAGTAGTTTTTTCCTGCTCATCTACAACGAAAAAAAGAAATAAGAAATAGAAAATAGGTTGTTATAAATTAAGAAGTTGGCAAAAACTGAAAAATACACCAAGATAACTTTTTGATTTTCTTTATAAATTTCGCACCAAATTTTACAAAATTTAATATTTAGACATAATTTGAGTCGCAGAATCGAAATATGGAAAAAATTGGTATGTCATTTCAGAAAATGTTCGATTTTGTGTCAAAATACCCATGTTAGAATGATGCTATATATGAATGTAATATATATCCTAAGTTGCACTTTCAAGACATGAAAAATGCAATTTGAATTTCGTCAATTGGCCCAGCAGAACAAGGGATATAGCACTGTTCCCCCCCCTTTTTTTTTTGCAAAATATACCTTAATTCCATCACTAAAGATGTTTATTTTTCTGTTATTTATAGTATAACATTCTTATTTCAAAAACTAATTTTAACCTGTGTAATTATTTTTCAGGTTAAACTGCTTAAAAGTAGAAGTAAAGTACTTCAGCATTATAGAGGTTACTGAGTATGCTTTGGCGAAATTAGCGACATTTCAAAATTCATTTGCCAAGTATCAAAACAAAGCACAGGAGCCTTCCCCCCCCAAAAAAAAAAATTCCACATTATAAGAACATAATAAATAAAATTTATTTAACAATTAGTAAAACATGAAATTTAATATGTATTTATCTTTCCAGAAATAACATTCACATTTGTGTAAAACACAATTTGACAGTGCTTTGTCTTGTTTCACCATTTGGCTGCAGTTTCCTTATAAATAATTTCATTTACTGGCATTTTTTTTTTTTTAAATACTTTTGCTTAGCGTACAAAATACTATGCTCTTGGTAAGAAAACCACTGATTTTTTTTTTTTTTTCCAGCTGATAGCAAGTTAACTATGGTCAACACTTTCTAGGAAAAATTAATAATAAAGAGTGAAAGAGCAAATAACATTACAAAAAAACATTCTTATTTTAAAATTTACAGAAAGTTGCCAACATTTAAAATGAACGTAAGTAATGACAGAAAGACTTCATTCAATCAAAAGTGAATATGAAAATTAAAAAATGTAGCAAATTATAACTACCACAAAAAATTTCTGTTCCAAGCAATGTTTTTCTAATTGATTCCAAGTTAAAATGCTATACATTTTACCAAAAAAAAAAAAAAAAAAAAAAAAAACTGAATCTATAATATCACACAGACAATGTCGTTGACTGCTGTGGCGGCGAGTTTGGTAAACTCTTCTTTATTGATTGATATTCTGATAAACATTGACTTTATTGTGTTAAAACCTGTTTTATTCGAAAGATTATATGTTCCGGTTTCAGAAAATGTATTGCTCGTTTGATTATTTTGAATAGTTTTAAACTTATGAACTTTAAAAATTTCGAATACTGAGCTGACGTGGTGGCGAGTTTGGTAGGCTCTTCACATTGATTGATAAACTGGTAAATATTGACTTTGTGCTGAAATGGGTTTTAGTTGAAAGATTTTATGTTGCGGTTTCAGAATATGTACTGTTTGCTTGAATACTTTACATAGTTTTCAAATTACGAACTTCTAAAAATTTGGATATTGAGCCAGGCCTAATGGATGCTGCCTGTTGACATTTGAAAAGCTGGTGCATCAACTGCTTAAGTCTTTCTACCTGATGGGGGCAGAACTTGGTGATAAAAATGTAGTATTTTATGGAAAATTATTTTAAGAGTTTTACATTGTGATTCTGATATGAAAATGGACTTTTAGACATTTTTGAATTTTATAAAATATTTTATTTATTTGTGAATATGTTCTAAACTCGCATCTTGTCCCAGTCTTGCGTGCTTACATTAAAATCAATGATAATACAAGAGAATCCATTCCTATGGATAATAAGATTCTGGAAGACGACGAAGATGTATTTTTAGTGATCGATAGATTAAATAAAGTTGTTGAGGATATGAGAGAAAAAAGAATTGCAAAGGCACTTATTGAAATAATCAAGGATTAGTTTACATTGCTAACAGGGTGACTCGTCATAATTTAATGGATGTTGAAATGGGAAAAATGAAGAAAACGGAGGATAAATTGGAAAACTTAATACAAGACATCACTGAAATAAAAGAATATATCAAGCATATGTGAAAGTTAGGGAAAACAAAGAGAATGAGGAGAAAGTGAGTGGAAATACTAGTGTAATAGATACCAAGGTTGAGAGTGAAGATAAGGTAGTGAAACCTAAGGGATCTGAGTATAATGAAATTGTAATAAAATCACTTAAGAATAATATAGATGTATTTACGGAACTGAAACGAAATATCAATCCACCAAATTTAGGCATAAGAGTTATTAATTTTTATAGTAGAAAAAATGAAGATGTGGTTGT